GTGAATGCTTTTTTGGTTTGAGGATCGTGTGCGTTGCTTGCCAGGCGTGGCTGATGCGCGTGGGTCGGAGCGCTAGGGCGCGAGGAGAGGGCGTGCAAATCCGTGGCTGCAGGCCATCCTTCCTGCCTGCGGGGCCTCCGAGTAGGCTGGGGATGACAGCATGCGCCCACCGATGCCGGCTAGCCGATGTGGGGTGAGGTGATATAGTTAGGTTGGCCAGATGTGCAGAGTTTCTTGTCGGGTAGTCGTGAGGTAGTGGAGGACGGTCTCGGCTTGCGCAGGCTGTTTCGAGATGCGGAGGGCCTCGCGAAGGTGCCGCCGCCGCGGGCCGGAAAGAGGGCGCGAGGGTGAGCCGAGCGCCGCGCGCCGCGCGGGGACGTGAGGGGTTGGGTAGTGTCGTGGTGAATAGTAAGTTTCAAGAGAGTGAGGTGCTTTTATGGTAAGTATTGCATGAGTAAAACTTTGAACAGATTAGGGTGGCGGTTCGCAGGGCTAATGATCAAGAAGGAGAGATCTGAGAGGCGGGTAGATATTAGAGAGTGTTGTTTTGGTGAGGGGCCGGGATGGCCACCATATATTTCTTTTCATTGTTCTAGAAGGAGTCCCAGTCATTCTAGTATATGTTTTTTTTTTTTTTTGATTTTGCAAATGCTTGAGAGCTTGAGAAAAGCAGGTTAGAGTTGAGAAGAAATGAATTAAGACCAGCAAGTTAGAAAAGTGACACTGTTACAATACACAAACAATATCTCGACTTAGAAGATATTTGTACATAAAGAAAACTTACGCTTTTTTTTGTTTTTTTGTGAGACATGCGAGTCTGGCTTTGTTGCGCCAGGCGTAGGAGTGGCGCGGCCGAGGTGCCGTGCGTCGCACGCCGGTGAGTGACGAGCAGCAACCGCAAACTCCCTGTCGACGGATCCTTCGTGCCTCAGCCTCCCCGGGTAGCTGGGACTCTGACAGGCGGCATGCGGCCGACCGCAGTGCCCGCTAATTTTCTTGTATTCGTACTATCAGTTGCCAATTATGTTCTTGTCGGGTATTTGATAGTAGAGAGGGGTCTCGCTCTTGCTCAGGCTGTTTTGAACTCCTCGCACTCTCGAGCAATGGCCGCCCGCCTCGGCCTCCCAAGAGCTAGGATTACAGGCGTGAGCCACAGCGCCCGGCCTAAAACTTAGCTTTTGTAAAAGGCGAGAAATGCGTGCTTGGTAAGGATACTCATTTAAATAATATGCTTCAGAATTCAACCTTTGTTCTGTCTTGTGAGCTTTTAAAGAAAGGAATATAGAGTAGAGGCAGATTGGACAGGATATGAAACATAGAGCTTTATTATTCCTTCTTCCTTTATTCCTCCTTGAGCTTTAAAGATCAGTTGTACTATGCTGAACAAAAAAGAACTATGACATCTCAGTTCAGTTCTGACTTTAATTCTCTCTTTTCCTACCCGTTCCATCTTTCCCTTTCTTCCCTCCAAGAGCTAGCAAAGATATGTGACTATCTTGGGGACAGTTGTCTGGTTTCTTTCTCCCCCTGAAGATCTGATCACTAGCTTTGGGCTTCACTGGCAGCTATTTTCTCACCATACACCAGAATGCCTACCCTCTGGATCCTTGCATGTACCTTATATGGATGCTAAAGTCCATTTTGATCCAGTATCATGACTAGTTTGCCCTGACAAGAGTGCATTTGATTGCTGAGACCAGTTCAGTTGGTCAAGGGTCTGTAAGCTAGTGTTAAAAAATGGCTTATCTATCCTTTTGCTAACCCTTATATTCAGTATTGTTAATTTCTCTGTGGTTTTCAATAGGCTTTCAATCTATAGTAATAATAATTATGAATGTTTACTTTATGTGAGATCTGTGCCAAGTCCTTTACTATCTCTTCTTAATTATCACAATAGCCATATGAGGTAAGTATATTTTATAGACGGAGATTAAGTACTTATGCCTAGGATGATACAATGCAGAGCTGGGATTCTAACCTTGGCAGCAAAAGTTAAGAATCTGCATTCTCTTAACCACTATTGGAATTCCAAATCCATTTCCCTCATCTTCTGGGACTACACACAGCCTTTTCCCTTCTAACCTGATAAAACCCAAATGTTAATACCAAACCTGGAAGCAGTTTGTTATACTTGCTCCAGTTTTCTCTAGTTTCTTTCTGTGCCAGTGAAGTAGAAAATACCTATATAGGGTTCTAATCTATTCTCCCCCTTTCCATAGTAATAGCATTTATCTGGGCTTGTGGCTGCTCAGGATAAGGACTAACTTCCCAGCTTCCCTTGCAGCTAAGATAACAAGTTGTGTCCAATAGGATGTGAGCAACTATGGTATGTAAAACCTTAGGGTCATCCCCCTCAAGGGAAAGGACTTGCTCACTTCTTGCCCCTTCCTTCTTCTGGAATGTGAATGTGGTGGTTAGTAACTAGACCTTGTCAATGAGGGCAACACTAGGATGTAGAGCAGGCGTCCTCAAACTACGGCCCGTGGGCCACATACGGGCCGCTTAGCACACTTATCCAGCCCTCCGGGTGTTTTTGCCGCCACTGCCTGTCCTGCTTAGCAGCCGACTCGTTCTGGGCCCTCAGTGCACACTCTCCAATGGTCTGCCTGACAGTGAACTGGCCCCCTGTTTAAAAAGTTTGAGGACCCCTGAGTAGAGCAATAAGATGAGGAGCAAGGACCCTGACACTCTGGGGCTGGCATATTATCCCTAGAATGTTCACACTGGCTATAAGATAGAAATAAACCTAATCTTATTTATTTATTTTCTTTGAAATTACATATGATCTACTGATATATAAGAAAAAAACAGTAGACCCAATAACAACAAAACAAAAATCTGAATTTCCCTATGAGTTTCCCGAGAGTGGGTACTATATATCAATAAATGTCTGCTGCATTTAAATGAATCATTAAGAAAAGCTTTTTTTTTTTTAATTTTTAAAATTAAAAAATTTTTTTAAATTTAAGATGGGTAAGTTAAGAAGTAGAGATAAATTGGTTTCTGTGAATCAGAAATTTAAAAAAGACATAAAAAACAGAGCTCAATATTTAGCAACATTACAGATTTCATACTAAATGAAATCACTTGTACTACAGCACACATTATTTTAATTTATTGTTTTAGTACATTACAAAAGAAAATATCTAGTTATGTTTATAGTCACTTAAAATCCAAACAACTGTTATAATAACCTTTTATTTTATATAAAAATGTAATTGTGCAATAGTTACCAAGAAAGTTAAATCTACTAATTAGTACTTAGGCTAGGGAACAGTTTTCAGATTTTCAGCAGATACCAACAAAATCCTACACAATTTACACAGTTGAAGCAAACATAAAAAACCTCTGGTTCAGTTTCTATGAACCATCAATAGGATAAGGACAAAATGCCTTTCTATCTCAAATCAGGTTTTGAATGGTAGCTTTCCAATATAATAAAATAAAGACACACATACAAAATAAAGACAAAATATCTCTTCCCATTCTAAAACACGTCTCGTTTTTCCATATATACTTTGAATAATCTTGTAGTAAGTTTCTGCTGCAACTGACAATGTTCAAAATAAATCTATGCTGGTTTAGTGTTCTAAGAAGACAACAGAAGCAGTAGTAGGAGCATTAATCGTTCTTCCAGAATCTATAAAATCCCAATGCTATTGCCAGGCAAGCAAACACTGAGGCTGTGAAAAGAAGAGACTATGTTACAGGTCATGTATTTGTGATTATTTTGCAGAGATAAACAGAATAATGTTATCTTCAATTTAAACAAAGAGCAAAAAACAAAGGAAATCCAACCAATATTCTACCCTGTTTTTTATTAGAAAATTAAATTAAGGATAAAAAGATATTCTTAAGGGCAAGATCACAGCCAATTCTTAAAAGGTCCTATATTTGAAAAAAGAATAAGGATGACAATAATTTAAAAATGTAGATGTCAGAATCTGTAACTATTTAGTATCATTAACATTAGCATTATTAATGACTACTTTAATTATATATTCTGATTTCAGATCTTATGAAAAGTAGAAAACTATCCTTCTCCATATTAAAAAATTATGTAATTAGACTACTATAATAGAGATCCATATATCTATGAGAAGAAAATTTTAGTTGCCTTTTCAGTATATTTTAAAATAACGTCTTTCATAATTGTTAAAAAAAATGAAATGTTAATGAAAACCCTTAAATCAAAAACTCAGTGAGGTAGAAGGAAAGGCAGACAAAGCATCAGGCTTTTCAAATCGTAAACACAACACCTGTTCTTTTTTTTTTTTTGAGACAGAGTCTCACTCTGTTGCCCTGGCTAGAGTGAGTGCCATGGCATCAACCTAGCTCACAGCAACCTCAATCTCCTGGGCTCAAGCGATCCTCCTGCCTCAGCCTCCCGAGTAGCTGGGACTACAGGCATGCGCCACCATGCCCGGCTGATTTTTTGTATATATATTTTTAGTTGGCCAATTAATTTATTTCTATTTTTGGTAGAGACGGGGTCTCGCTCAGGCTGGTTTCGAACTCCTGACCTTGAGCAATCCGCCCGCCTCGGCCTCCCAAAGTGCTAGGATTACAGGCGTGAGCCACCGAACACTAAGTATCTTGTCTTACTACCAATGGGCAATTATATATTCTCCCATTTGATCCTGCTACTATTTAACCTGCCACATACCGTGTTTCCCTGAAAATAAGACCTACCCATGAAATAAGCCCTAGCAAGATTTCTAAGCATTTGCACATTATAAGTAAGCCCTACCCCAAAAATAAAACCTAGTGATGGGTGTGGCTACGCAGCATATCTGCACAACCCATGCATTTCCTCGAGGAGCGGTAAAGAAGAGAGATTGGGACCAATGGTTCTAAAGGAAATAGAGTCGCAAGAAATTCAGGATGGAACTCGGGGTTTGAAGAGTTATGATGAAGTTCCAGAAGGAGACCACTTAACTATATTTGGATAAATGTAGATTGTTGTACCGTACTTAAAAAAAAATAACACATTCCCTGAAAATAAGCCCTAGGGTGTCTTCTTGAGGAAAAATAAATATGAGACCCTGTCTTATCATCGGGGAAACACGGTAGTGTGCTAGTGTGCTCAGCAATTACATACACTACTTTATTTAACCATAACTAAAACCCTATGAGATTAGTTTTATTATCCCCATTTTACAGATGAGGCAGCAAGCCCAAAGCTCTATTGCTAGCAAGTAGTAGAGCCAGGATTTAAGACTAAGTGTACCTGACTCCAAAGCTGTTTTTTGTTTTTTTCTTTAAAAACATTTTGTTTCCTTTATTTCTACTGTGACACCTGAAGGACTTGCCATTTTTTTGAGCCACATAGTGCTATCTAGGTAGTTACAGCCTCTGCTAACTTAGAGCTTATGTTTTAGATAATCAAATGAACAATTATTTATTGTGAGGAGGGATTATTTCATTCCTTTATTAGAATACACAACACAATTATAACTGCATTTAACTTTTGTATTTTTTGTTGCTGTTATTTTAGCTTTTATGTGTCATTGCTGTTGTTATGCTAACTATGGAGTCATCCCAAATTACTTTTAAATTTGTTGTTTATCTTCTGTGGCCTGCCTACGAGGCATTCTACATACAGTACAATTCTTAGGTGAGCATGTGCCTTGGTACATTTTAAGCACTCTATAAACATTAGCTTTTATTATTTATCTGCCCAGAACAAAATCTGCCACATTAACTATATAGATTAAATGGAAACTGCACCATCTTACACCTCTTGCTTCTTTGGCAACAGTGTTCTGGGCCAAAGGGTGGTATCTGACCCAAGATGGACAGACCTTCCAGACTCCTTTTATGGGATTTTCGTAATTGGAACTAAGGAAAGGGGATAATTTCTCCTGCTTAGTGAAACTGTAATAAGAGTGTCTAGAAGCTATTAGTGGCAATGTTTCTAACCCATGAAGGAAGCTGGTATGAGAAAATGAGGCAGACATTCACAGACAACATAAAGAGTAAGTCTGATTCCAATTATCCTCGTGGTTAGGCTATAACTCTGCTCCTTCCATAGTTCAGTAGGAAGCCAACACTTGCTCTTTTATTCCTAAGCTAGTTCAAGCTGGATATATGATACTTAAAACTAAAAGAGTACTGACTGATACATGTTCAGAAATCAAATAATCAAACTGATTAACATTTATAATTTGATAAGGATTTCTTCTCTAAGGGAAATGCAAGATCTTTAATGCTGGGGCTTTGAGAGCTGAATGAAGATTTTCTCCCCCTGTGTTCATGACTGAATGTGTGAAACTCAGATAAACAGTGTATTATTGTCTTAGTGGCAACATCTCAGGTATTCTAGAACCCAAAAGATCCACTGATGACATTAACTTCCCACCTGTTTAAAGTGTGGGATTCAGGCTTCCTAAAAGGCTTACCAACAAAGCAGGAGTAACATATATTTTGAGATGGATAAAGAGAAATACCTCAGTACTTTTGACTGCAAATCCTCAGGGAAAAAAGAAAAGAAGGATGACTTAGGAAACATCTTTTTCTAAACAATGACTAACTTGCTAATTTCTTTTGCCACTGCCTCTGAGTCTATTAGATTCTGCCTTGTATATATCCACTGTTAAATGAAAGCTTTTTGGAGATCACCATCTTTAAAGTGAGGGTAAAAAGGATTTTGTTTTTAACTAAGATATTGATTCTTTAGGTAAATACTGTGGAGGCAGCTGAGTGGAATTTGAAGCCCTTCCTAACCTGTGTTACTTTGGGATTGATTTTGACACTGGGAATGAACACTCCAAACTAGGCAGTTTCAGAATTTTCTGAGCATTATAAGTGGACTGAAGGGCTCTGGTTCCAGAGACTTTGCTAGAATAAGGATTTTCAAATTTTTTTTTAGCCTTAGAAGCCTTCCTTCAAATGAATCTTAAACAGAAGCCCAGGGTTTTAAAGAGATAAAAATTGAGCTACCCAAGTTGAAGAAAGGAAAGGGATACATATCATTTGAGGGCTGGGGGCTCCATTTTCACCCTTACATTAGTGGTGACTGCACAGAGAACCACAGATGGTATAAATCAGCAATTTTATTTTAGACAGCAATTTGTTAAAAACAAAAAATTTTTAAATTGCATTATCTTTTTGATCCCCAATTTTAAATGTTTGTAGCTTTGTTATATCTAAGTACTAGCACCAGGGCATAAAATGTGTATGTGACATACATATAGCTGTTCAGTTCGCTATTATTCTTTTCTTTTTGAGACAGAGTCTCACTCTGTTGTCTGGGCTAGAGTGAGTGCCATGTGTCAGCCTAGCTCACAGCAACCTCAAACTCCTGGGCTCAAGCGATTCTGCTGCCTCAGCCTCCCGAGTACCTGGGACTTTAGGCATGTGCCACCATGCCCGGCTAATTTTTTCTATATATATTAGTTGGCCAATTAATTTCTTTGTATTTATAGTAAGAGACAGGGTCTTGCTCTTGCTCAGATTGGTTTCGAACTCCTGACCTCGAGCAATCCGCCTGCCTCGGCCTCCCAGAGTGCTAGGATTATAGGCGTGAGCCACTGCACCGGCCTCTATATATTTTTAGTTGGCCAATTAATTTCTTTCTATTTTTAGTAGAGATGGGGTCTCGCTCTTGCTCAGGCTGCTTTTGAATTCCTGACCTTGAGTGATCCTCCCACCTCTGCCTCCCAGAGTGCTAGGATTACAGGCGTGAGCCACTGAGCCCGGCCGGTATTGTTCCTAATAATGAAAAATTAGAAGCAGAATGCCTGTTAATAAAGGATTGGCTAAATAAATTATGGCATTTTAATGTAAAGGAAGTACTATACTTTCTAATAAAAAGATGTCTGTGTATACACTGATATGGAACAATATTTAAGACATTTCGTTAAATTTTTAAAAATTGTGGAGCAGACTGTAATATACAATTTAATTATTTTTATAAAGTATATATATTAATTATATACAAAGAAAAAACTTAGAAATATTTACTACTAATAATAAATACACATGGGGAAAGGATTTTGAAGGCTTTCACTTTTATTGCTTTTGAATTATATGAATAAATTTTAATGAAAATACATTACTTTTTATAAAAAGTAAAAAGACAAATAATACTTGAGTAGGGCATTTTTCCTAACTCATTAGGGCCCTGTAAGTGGCTCAGGTCAGATGGTACTTAAGGGGCTCAGTATGTGACAATCTAATATTTGGGTAGAATCTGTGCTGAGTCAGTTGATTCAAGACAAGAGATTATCACACCACTACCACCAAGCTTGTTATGGTTTTAATGGCTTGTATATACTGTATTGATTTTTCTTTCTAATCCCACTCAAATCGTTATGAAGGATATAAGGAATAAAAAGCAAATTTTCATTCTTTTCACTGTGGAATACCTACTTTATCCTGGTATCATTTTGTACTTGTGTTTATATATTTCTTTGATATCCATATGCTCTCACCTATTAGTAAGTTACAGAGTTGCCTGTTAAATTTATATCCTGAGATTAGAACTTTCTAAAAGGACTACAGGGGATCAAGCAATACAGAAGCCTTATTATAGCTCCTTCTGTTTTTTTTTTCCTGTGCCTACATTGTTATCTTGGTAGACAGGAACTAACAGGTCCCATTCTTCACAAAGGGCAGGGGGGCAAAAACAGAACAAGTTTATATACTAAATGATAGCAATTCCTTTTTCTGACAAAGTCTTACCTGCAAGATAACGAATTGTCTCAAGTTTGTTAGACTCCATCAGTGTTTTTAAGAAAGCAATTTCAGTGTCAATTTTATTACTGGTCTCTGAAATAACACTTTTGGTTTGGGTATCCTGTAGTAAATAAGAATAAATAAGAGAACTACTTACATTAGAAACCCTTACTTATGGGCTAATTGTGCATTACAAATGTCTTAATTGAGGAAACAGTAAAAGTACAGTGGTATTAAAAAACATTAAATGAACACTACAAACTGACAAATCACATACCTTTTGCTTTCCTATTTGAAGATCATTTCTTAGGATTATCACATACTGGGCATATTCTATTATAAACCTCCTAATAAAATATTTGAGACTTAAATATATAAGAGGATAAACTGAGAAGGAAAAATTTTAGTCACAGAACTATCACTTTATGTGTGTATTGTCCTTAGAATATTATAGATAAAACTTTAAATATATTCTGCAAATAAAAAATCAACAAGGTTTATACTATGAACTGGCACTAATATTAAAGGAACTGGCAGAAATACCTGATGGGTAACATTGAATGCTATGTTTATAGGGGCCAAAGGGTAACAGGAGAGATAAGAAGGCACCTAGAGCTCAGAAACTGGTTGTGAAAGAATTTGCTGTATTTCCCTGTTTATCTCCTTTATCTGGTCAAGAAGAAGAGATTAGTATTCTTGGAAGGACAAATGTGATCTTCTATTAAATTATGAGCAAGAGTGATGGCTTTGAACTTTTAAGAAAAGGACTAGGCTGAGTCAGACAGCAGAGTTTTACTCAAGCCATAGAGAGTAATAATTACATTTTAGAATTATTATTGAAAAAAAAATTATTATTTTTTTTTTCTTTTTTTTTTTAGAACCTACAGCGTATCTGGATGAAAAAAAAAATTATTGACAAGAGGCAGTAGTTCTGAGTTATTAAGTTTAGAATCCAGGTTCTTTTCCAAACTGTACCACTTATTAACTGGTGATCTTAACCCCTCTGTGCCTCATTTTTGAAACTGGTAAAATGTGAATAATAGTGCCTACCTCACAGAGGGTGATATGAAGTTTAAGTGAATTAACAGAAACAAATAAAGCATCCAAAATAGGATCTGGCACATTAACAAAAATACTATGATCTTTCAGAATTTTAAGATACTTAACTGAGCCTAGGCACTCATTTAAATACCAAATGTGAAATAGTAACACCAGTAGTGAATCTTTGTCTTTTAAAAAGTAGTATTATTTTCTATATAAAAATAATAGTTTTAAAAAAGTACGCTATGTGGAAAGTTTGATTCTTACTCTGAAGTCACAGCTCATGTATGACTATCTTACCTGGTGGTAACTCCCATAAAAAGCTGGCTAGCTATAATACCGTGTTTCCTCGAAAATAAGACAGGGTCTCATATTTATTTTTCCTCAAGAAGACACCCTAGGGCTTATTTTCAGGGGATGTGTTTTTTTTTTTTTTTTTTCTGTTAACCAGAACATGTGGATGTTATTTTTTTTAAGTAGGGTACAACAATCTACATTTATTCAAATATAGTTAAGTAATCTTCTTCTGGAACATCATCATAATTCTCCAAACCCTGAATTCCATCCTGAATTTCTTGCCACTCTATTTCCTTTAGAACCATTGGCCCCAATCTCTCATGTCCAGTAACAGAGCTCTCATGGGGCAGATGAGAAGGGCTGCTCTTCTTTACCACTCTGTAAGGAAATGCATGGGTTATGCAGATATGCTGCACAGCCACACCCATCACTAGGTCTTATTTTTGGGGTAGGGCTTATATTGTGCAAATGCTTAGAAATCCTGCTAGGGCTTATTTCATGGGTAGGTCTTATTTTCGGGGAAACACAGTAGCTATAAGGAAACCATATATTCTACAGGGCTAGCCCTTTAAAGTCCAAACTTATAAACTGATACACATA